AACACCTTGACCGCTCTCCCGTTTCTTACAAGCCATCACACCGCCCCCCCCCTGGCTCCACGCCACCCCTTACCCCTTCTCCCCACTTGTGTTTGTGTATTTTCTGTTGTTTTCTTTTTTCCTTTTTTTCTTGTATTTTATCTTTACTTTTTTTATTTTGTCGTTCGTCCCTTGGTGTGTTCAGTTTGGGGGTTTTTGGGTTTGTTGTAGTGGTTTAGGGTCGGTGTATGACCTTGTTTGTGCTTGGATGCTGGCTCGTTCGGGTGTCTGGTATTATATGGCTTGAACCAGTTCGTGGTATTTTTTGTACGCGTTTGGGCTTGGTTTTTGTTGTTTATTACTTTTTGAGTGTGTTTGTATTTTTTTTCCTTTTTTGTGGGTTGGATTAGGAGTGTATTTGTTTGTTTGTTGGTTGCGCTTTGTCGTTGTGTGTTTGGGGGGTGGCAATTTTGTGGGTTTTGACTTTTTTTGTTCTTTGCGCTTGTTATTTTCTGCGGGTCCTGTGATTTGGAACAGGGTTTTGTCGGTGGTCGTGTTTTGTTGTTTGGTTCTCTCCCTTTAATGTATCTGGGAGTGGGGCAACGTAGTCTTTTGTGGTTTTTATTGCGGTGTTATGCGGCTGGGGTTTGTAGCTTTTTTGGACTGCTTTGTATTCTTTTGTCTGGGATGTTGTTCGCATTTATTGCTGTGTGGGTGCTGTTGGGCGATTTGTGGGGGGGGGGGGGAGATGGCGGGGGGGCTGGGGGGGGGGTGGGGGGAGGGTGGTGGTCTGTTGGGGGGTGGGAATTGTTTAGTGGTTAGATGGAGGGTGATGGGTGGGATGTGGATTGTGATATAGGGGGGCTGGTGGTGTTTAGGTAGGATTTTATGTGTGGTCCAGATGCGGCTGGGTTTGGGTTTTTGGGTGGGTATGCTGAGTTTGGCGCGGGTTGTGAGGATCTTGTTGTCCGCATAGGTTGTAGATGTAGATGGGGGCGTGTCAAAGTACTCGATTGGGGGGTAGGTGTGTGTGGGTCCGAGTGGAGTGTTTGTTGTGTTTTGGGATTGCGGATGAGTACGGATTTCCTGGTTCTGTTACTTGGTTCTTTTAGTGATTTTGTTTTTCTTTTCGCGTGTTATGTATTTTTTGGTATGTTGTGGTATGGCTAGTTGGTATTTGTTTGTAGGAGTTTTAGGTAACTGACTCTTTTTGTATGTCTTGTGCTTTTTTTATTTCGTGTTTTCCTCTGTTGCTTTTTGTGTTTGTCGTTTTGTTTTTTGGGGTGTTTTTTTTTTTTTTTGTTGCCCCTCTCCCTCACCCCTTCCCTCTCCCTCCCCCTCCCCCTCTCCCTCTCCCTCACCCTTCCCCTCTCCCTCACCCTCCCCCTCTCCCTCTCCCTCTCCCTCACCCTCCCCCTCTCCCTCTCCCTCACCCTTCCCCTCTCCCTCACCCTCACCCTCCCCCTCTCCCTCACCCTTCCCCTCTCCCTGACCCTCACCCTGACCCTCTCCCTCTCCCTCACCCTTCCCCTCTCCCTCACCCTCACCCTCCCCCTCTCCCCTCACCCTTCCCCTCTCCCTGACCCTCACCCTGACCCTCCCCCTCTCCCTCACCCTTCCCCTCTCCCTCACCCTCTCCCTTTCCCAGATCTGTGACCCAGAGTGTGGGTGGCAGATCCAGGCCAGTGGGGCAGGAGCATTAGCCCCAGAGGCTCAGGGGCTTTAGGGCCTGAGGCACTGTTTACATGCTCCACGGACTCGTGTCGTCGCGTCCACGTGCTGCGGCGGCGGCGGCGTGCTAATCTCCACACGGCTGCAGCATGTTGTAAACGCAGACACAGAGAGAACATGCAAATGCAGATTGGCCCCGGTTTTGTTACAAGCTTTTTCCACCGATGTTTGGTAACTTTGGAAATGGTTCAACATCAGAGTCCGGTTTTTTCAGAGAGAGTCGAGAAAGAGGTCCCTTCTGGTCCTGAGGGTTCAGACTCGGTCCTCAGGGTTCAGACTCGGTCCTCAGGGTTCAGACTCGGTCCTCAGGGTTCAGACTCGGTCCTCAGGGTTCAGACTCGGTCCTCGGGGTTCAGACTCGGTCCTCGGGGTTCAGACTCGGTCCTCGGGGTTCAGACTGGGTCCTCAGGGTTCAGATTCAGTCCTCGGGGTTCAGATTCGGTCCTCGGGGTTCAGACTGGGTCCTCAGGGTTCAGACTCGGTCCTCAGGGTTCAGACTCGGTCCTCAGGGTTCAGACTCGGTCCTCGGGGTTCAGACTCGGCCCTCGGGGTTCAGACTCGGTCCTCAGGGTTCAGACTCGGTCCTCAGGGTTCAGACTCGGTCCTCGGGGTTCAGACTCGGTCCTCGGGGTTCAGACTGGGTCCTCAGGGTTCAGATTCGGTCCTCGGGGTTCAGATTCGGTCCTCGGGGTTCAGACTGGGTCCTCAGGGTTCAGATTCGGTCCTCGGGGTTCAGATTCGGTCCTCGGGGTTCAGACTGGGTCCTCAGGGTTCAGACTCGGTCCTCAGG